TATTTTATGGACCTTTTTATTTCTTTTTTTATCATGATGGAAGGTGAGGCACTACACGTCACTGACGGAGGCCTGTTTATGGGGTGTGGGGTGCGGTGGTAGTGGGGGCTGTGGTGGTTGGAGGGGGGTGAGTAAATCACTGTGTCTGATATCTTCACTTCAGACACTGAGCTGATCACTGCTCATCCTGCTTGTTCCACATTAACTCATTATCACACACACACTCAGTCCATTAATTCTCTTGCTTTTATTAGCAGCAAGAGTACACACACACACATACACACACACACACAGTGGCCGGATGACAAGTGCTGCCTCTCCCTCCTCTGACAGCTAATGGTTTCATTAGGATTGGTGTGTTAATTGGCCGACTTTAGGGAGATGCTTGTTAATGAGGATAAATAGATTCACACCTGAGCGGGGGTCGGGGTGGAGGGTGGGGGGGGGTGCTACCCAGTCACAGCATCACTGTGGGAACTCAGATATGAGTGTCAGACTTTATGGAGGGGTGCAGGTCTGCAGGCACAGACCCCCGTGCAGCCTGAACTCAGTGGTCTTCTCCTTTGCCAGGCAGACTTATTAGCCCTGAGCTTGATTAGCACCGGGGGGGCAAAACAAAGAGCAGTATGTCAAAGCAATTAGCCCCACTGTTTGCCTCTCAGCTCCCAGGCTGACTGCAAAATGCTTCTAATCCAGGAGAGGAAGAGAGAGAGACAGAGAGAGAGAGAGGTAAAGGATGGATGGAGGCTAGTTAGTTGCAGGAAAAGAACAACAGCTGGTCCATAGGCCACTGTATGTGTGTGTGTGTGTGTGTGTGTGTGTGGTGGTAAGTGTTTGCATTGATAAGCGCTGTCCCTGTTGTCCCAATCCATCTGCTTCTCTTGCCTAGATTTCCATCCTGTGCTGTCTGGGCATGACAGACAAACACACACACACACACACACCTTGTTAGAGCCGCTTCTTTCCTCAGGGGACCCGGGGGAGGGGGGGGTCTCACACACAGACAGAATGGAAGCAGGGCAGACTGATCATTTACATAAGAGCACAGACAGAGGGACAGAGTGCGTTTGTCTTGTCATTTCACTTTATATGCACTGACCGCTGATACCACCTAGTGGTGGTCTGTACACCCTGCAGCTAGTTACAACTTTTAGAAAGTTAAATCAATGGCTGTGTGGGATGTGGAGCAAATTTTTTTGGAGATTTCTTTTGAAGATTGAGTACCGAGTACAAAGACAACGTAGTATTTAAATTGTTTTTCTTCAAAACTCTTTTTGTTTAGACCAGATGATAAATACAGCACCAAACTATAGTGCAGCTAGTACAAATTAATTTATCATTCTTAAATAACCAAAACAAAAAACAAAAAAAAAACGGTGCAGCTAGTACAAATTAATTTACCATTCTTAAATAACCAAAAAAAAAACAAAAAACTGAAAATACATTGGATAGTAAAATTATTGACATCTAGGCTAGACGTGAGGTGTTTTTGGGCCAGAAGTGGCCCTCAGGCCAGGGGTTTGAGACATTTGACAGACAGGCAGAGAGCAGCTTGCATGTCAATAATGATCTTTAATGTCCATATATACAGAACTTGAAAGAAAAATAGAATCTTAAAAATCAAATGAAATAAATACAGTATCATACAATTTCCACAATGTCTTTTTAAAGAGATATACATGGAAATCTTTTTTTTTTTTTTTAATATACTTTCTAGTTTTTTAATTCAGCCTCTGGTTTGACGGGATGAATCCTGTCCCCACCCAGAGAAATCCCTACAGCTCCCCCACATGCTCTTCATCTGCTATATATACACACATATATGTGAACAGTAATATATGTGAAATATATGTATACATATATATATACACACATATGTCACATATATAAGTTTATACACATATGTCACATATATATCACACTATATGTATATATACATGCCATATATATGTATACATATATATCACATATATAAATATATATATATATATATGTGCTGCAGGGAGAGATCTTCTGCTGTAGTGATCACATTATTTCACCCATTATCTTTTGCTCATCTGCAGTTTTTGAGACACTGTTTGCATCACAACGTAACGAGTCAGACGGTGAGACTGAGGGAAAAAGAAATCCGAGTTGTTTCCACACATGCATTTATGTTTCCAAGTGCTGGCAGATGCCATTGATCCTGAGAGACCAGTTAATCTGCCACAAGCAGAATGACATATTCTCATTTCATCGTGAGAGAGAGAGAGAGAGAGAGAGAGACGGAGAAAAAAAACAAAAAACAAAAAAACAGAAAAAGTCTACGATGTCCTTCAGTCAATATCTTCATGCCAGCACTCTTACACATAAACCATAACGTCACTGTGAACAGAAGAATCAAAGAGGACAAAAAGTAAGGATGGGACTGAGGGAGAGAACTGAGGGGGGAGTGGGCAGGAAGAGTGCAGATGAAGAGCAGGTGGGGAGGCGCACAGTTTACCGAAGCAGCTTTGAATCAGCCAATCACAGTGAAGGACAACATCAGCTGGTGCGGTTCTTCCCCATCATGGAAGAAAGAATGAAGGCGAGAAGGGCAAGTGCATATGAGGCTGTGGAATAAATACAAGTCTGTCTCCCCAGCAGTAACAGATATGTGAGTTTCCCCTCTTCCTCTTCAGCTGACGTCTCCACGATGCAACCTCCCTCGCCGAGAGCCTGCGTGCGTGTGTGTTGGATGTGTTGAGTGTGTTAAATAAATAGGTTAAAAAGCGAGAGAGAATCTCTAACTGTCTGAATGGGCAAGTCCGACTGGGAGTGAGGTCCAAACTGGAGGGTGAGCGAGCGTCGTTTGTGCGTGTGTGTGTGTGTGTGAGAGAGAGTCTACATGTCTGTTGAGGTGAGTTTCTTCATGCTGCGTCTCTGTGCCAGGCTGGACGCTGCCACTGGCTCCAGCACAGGCTGACTGGTCTTCTGGCTCAGTGCTGAATAGGTGCCAGCCATGGCTCCCTGTGAAAACCCCACCACCACCACAACAACAGAAACGATTCTTAACTGCTGTCTTTGCTCCCGTAGTAAAGTGCTGAACAGGACAAGTAGTCGTTCAGGTTCTTCTGAGTGACCAGAAAAACTTTACAGTTTTGTCAAGAACTTACATCCCTAAATCAAGATCTCTGAATATTTTAACTAATTAACTGAGTTATATGAATATAATTC